AGGACCACAAAGGGGCGAGCTAGGTGAGGGGACCTAGAGGTGGGAACCGGAAGGGGCCCCTTTTCCCCACCGTGGTCCCCGGCTGCTGTGAGATGCCCTGCTGCACTGCAGCCTTAAGCACTTCCCGTTACCCAGTGCCCTCCACATGCCAGGCGCATACCTACTGTAGGTCCTCAGTGTCAGGACAAAACCCAGGCTAAGTGCCAAGTAACTGTCTTCCTTTGATAAGCTCCCTGATCCAAAACCAAGGCTGTGTCCCCTCTCCCCGAAACGCCCCCAGAAGGCCCCTGAATCCAAAGCCAAGTACTATGTAAAAAGGCAGTGCAGAAGCACCCAGACACTCTGACAGGTCTCTAGACCACGTGTGAAAGAACATGGGCTTGGGGGATTTTAGTAATATGACACATATGATAAGGAACCCGTCTATAATGGCAACGACAGAGCTGAAAAGCAAAACCCAAAGAGTTTTAGCCTTTGCTCTGCATTGCCTTAACATTCCTCTGCAAGCTGAGTGACTTCAGTTATTCTTGCAAGTATATGGAGGGTAATGCAGCCAAATGTCTCTTGGGACCTCATGGGCCTGAAAGCACTGTGGGGACGGGTGGATGCTGCCTGCCCACCCCCAGCCTCATGGAAGGCAGAGCTTGGACACTGCCCTGTGAGAGGACAAGACTGCAGCCTCCCCACGGCCTTGGTGAAATCAGCTGGGGGGAGCCCCTAGGAACCCTGGTTTCAGCTAAGCCGGCAGCTGGCTTTATTCCACGGTGCAGCGGGAGGCTGGGGTTAAGAATTAGCACATCTGGGGCCGGCCGAGTGGCGCATTGGTTAAGAACTGGCTTGGGATGCCAGAGGGCCCCGGTTCAGATCCCACATGAGGGCCAGTGACACTGCCCTCTACAGNAACAGAATTCCTAGCAGTCCACATGATAGACTATGTGTCAGGGAGGTAAGGCCGTTATTAAGAATGGATTATTTTTAATAGGCGGTGGAGATCTCATTCATCCGTTCCTTCCATTCTCGTTCGGGTTCCCTTAGATAATGCAGTGTCCCTGGATTTTAGGTAGTACATTAAGAAACAATACTCATTACTAGTGTATTTATTGTAATGTCCGTTAGGAAAAAAACATAACAAGCACATGAAACTCGTCATTTCATGAATAACTTTATTTAAGACAAGGCTAAAATAGATTAAGTTTTTAAAGAAAGTTAATTTTAAGTAAATAGTTGTATTATGGGACACAGATATGACAGAAGTCAGAAAGATGGTACATTAATTGAATGATTCATGTTTGGCAAATATTGTCCTACAAGCTGCTACTTGGCCAAGTTAGTTTTTATTTTTTTCTTTCTTACTTTTTTTTAAATCTTAGTATCTCAGAATGAAGCTGAATAAATTGCTTACAAGAAAAAATAGTTGTGAACAGTAATAATAATGATTCTAGTAAGTTTTAGAGAGTGTCAGCAGAGACGTATTGCTTCTCTGGTGCAGAGCGGGGAAAACTGCGGATCTTCTCTTCCGATCTGGCTTCAGAGCCATCATCCCCTCCCTCCTCCAAGAGCAAGGATCCTAAATGTTTATGCACACTGACATGCTCACTGTCTTGTTCATAACCACGGCTGTGGTTTCTTATGGGCTGTGCGTGTGTGTGTGTGTGTGTGTGTGTGTGTGTGTGTGTGTGTACGCATGCGCACGCGCGTGCATATTAAATGGTAACAAGATAAGGGGCCACGTCTAGGCTATCCCGGTTATTTATATTAAATCATGACATGAGGATGTCGGTGGCCTGTAATTCTCCATTTCCTATTAACCACCCTGCCCAAGTAAACTGTGTTCTGATCTCTCTTAGATGGAAATCCTGTATGAATGTGAAAGCCATTAGCAGAGTAATTGCTGTCTGTTACCATGACAACCAGCCGCTGCAGTCACCTGCCCGAAGTGCTGCCAGACTGCACCAGCTCAGCTGCGCCCGTGGTGAAGACCGTGGAGGATTGTGGCAGCCTAGTGAATGGGCAGCCACAGTATGTCATGCAAGTTTCGGCCAAGGACGGGCAGCTGCTGTCGACAGTAGTGCGGACTCTTGCCACCCAGAGGTAGTACCACAATTAACATTAAAATAAATGAATGTGTAATTGACCCAAAGGGCTCTGTCCGATGGAAAAAGCTTAAGGAAATGTAATTAGTGCTCAGCTCTTTGTGTCAGGTGAGAGGAGGTGCTGGGGGGGAGGGGGGGAACGACGCAAGTTCTGTCACTGCCGTTTCTATTGCAATAGGATATAAAGCTAAAATTCATGTGGCCTGGTTTTCCACTTAAAGTCACACTTGCAGAAAGCCAGGCAGGAAAGGATCCCGCAAGACACAGGGTCACTTGCTTTACGTTTGTTATTTTGACATTTCTACAGTAATTACACTCCTTGTCCCCAGGCACTAACAAAGGTAACCCTTCGTTAGAATAGAATGAAGGAGGCACCTGCTTTCTGGTGACTGAGCCAAAGTGCTTGGATCTGTGGACAGAACTTTTGCAGTGACCTTCCTGGTGTGCAAGCCAATCAGCACTGCCCGATGGGCTCACTGAGCAGGGCCACTTCCTGGGCACGTCTCTTCTCTGGCACACCCCCACTTGGGGGGCCTCTTCTATTGCTCTCCCTCTTTTGCTCCTCATAGGCCCCCACCCATGATGCTTCACACACACCCTGCCCTATGAAGTATACTATTGCTAAAATCCCCCCAACTTGTCTCCCCTGAGTGATGAACCAAAGCAAAGCTGAAGGCTTTCGACAGTCTGGACATGGCTTCTCCAGGCCAACCCTTTGTCCCTGGAGGTCTCCCCTGTGCTGTCGCTGCCGAGTGGCAGATGGACAGCTTCAGGCTGCCCGGCCAATAGGTACTCACTCCTTGGCTTCTTCAGCTTTCTTTCCAAATAGGTAAGTGGGACTTTGACCTATGAACGCAACATGTATATCAGCACTGGAGTTGCCTCCTGATATCAGCGCTGACACTTCTGACCCTGAAATTTGGGGCAGTCACTCACACCTAGACTGTTTACCTTGGTCTGAGCAATTCAGCCAACCCCCCTGGTGCAAATACAGGTCCACAGCCTGAGCATGCACCTGCAGCAGGATGACTGGGGGTACCACCGCGTTTCCTGTTGTCCCCAGCCTGGACGTGGTGGCCGCCAGAGCAGGATTCACACACCCATGCATGCTGTATGAGTAAACAGTGTCCGTGCACTTTCGATCGGTGCTGCTATCTCCAAGGGAAGAAATAGGAAAAAAAAGTCAATATGTGTTTTTCCACCTCTTGAAACGCTTCTAACAGTTGGTTAGGACTCAGAATACGAAGAGACGGTGAACATCATTGCTCATCTGTGAACTGAGACAGATAACTGATGTGCACCTGTCACCTTGCAGCCATCAAACACATCTAATCAGGGAGAACAAGCTGCAGAGCTGCAGTGACTCAGACTTGTGAGCCAACGTGTGTGTGTGTGTGTGTGTGCATGTGTGTGTGTGTGTGCATATGTGTGTGGCATTTTTACATGTTCTCCTACCACGTAGTAATGTAAACTAGAAGGTTTTAGAATTCTACATGGATGTGGCTCAATGTGAATGAAGGAGACAAGGAATAATGAGAGAGAAAAAGAAGTCAACTCTAAACTTGCTTTCCTTGACCCAAATGGAGAGGAGATCCTCCCCTCTTTTAACGCCCTTTTAGCCTTCACTCGTCGCCAGCGTCATCCCCAGAAAAGTCTGTGGAAAATAGCAGTGTTTCCATTTGGACCAAGGATGGCGTCAGAGAGAATAGTGGGCATAAGCCTGGGTCACTGCCATCTTTGGGGGACAGGAAGAGGCAGGGGAGGGCGGTAGAGGTTGGATCTCAGGTTGGCATGTACAGTGATGATGTATTTTAAAATCTAATGCCCAAGAAAGGGCAGCATGAGCAATATAAGAACACGTCAATCAGAAAGGGACAGTCCTCTCACAGGACACAGTGTACACTGAGAAATGAGGTCCTCCTAGTCTGACCCTTCCTTTTGCTGCTGACTTAGGTCATAAGGGCCATGTTATTCGACTTTTCCTGACCTGAACCTTTTACGAGTGAAAAGAGTTAGCATTATCTAGGCATTTGCTACTACTGGTCCTTACTCTAAGCTTCTAATGTGGACTGTCTTCTCTCATCCTCAGTCACCAGCTGAGGAAGGCACCATTGTTTGCGCCCATTTTAGAGATGAGGGAGTTGAAGTACAGGGAGATGCCATTAGTTGCCCGAAATTAGCCAGCTGGTAAGCAGCAGAGCTGGTGTTCGAGCCCAGGCAGCTGGACTCCAGAGCCTGCCTCACGAGCCACGGCACTTGGTGCCTTTACAAAACATGCAGCGGTGGTTTTTCCAAATTAAAGGCAGAGCTCTAGGCAGAGGCCACCTCGGTAGGACATACTCACTCCTCACTTCCAGTTTAGTGTCCTTAGCATCCCAGAGAGCATCCTAAGAAAGTTCAAAGGACCGACCCGTCACTCAGCTTTGTGCAGTGGCTCAGACGGCACTTCTGTGTGGCAGCCTCGGGGCTGGCTGCCAGCTCACTTCCCTCCTCTCATTCTCCCGCCCTACTGAAAGGAGAATGAAAGGCACCTCTGGGTATTCAGAAGTGTCCTGACTGGGTTCAAAAGACACAACTTGTCAAGAAACGACAATCGGCGTCCAAACAATTTCCAAACAATTTCTTTTCTTAATGGCAAGGGACGATTTTTATTTTTTGACTGGTAGTTTGCCTGAACTACATCTATATCCAAGGCAAAAAGAACACATTGCTCGTTGTCACTCACTTTCGGCCCCGGGCCACCCCCTCTTTCTTTATATTGGTAGAAGTAGATGCCCACGGACCCTGGCACTGGCCCTCACTGCCAGGTGCAAGCGTCGATCTAGGGTTTCAGAGCAGGTGTCCATTCCGAGTTGTTGTGCCAGGAAGGCTCCGAAGGACACAGGGCCGGAGGACCCTCCACGTGGCCGTGGCTTCGAGCTCAGTGACCAGCAGCTGCCCCTCCTTCTCTTGCAGCCCCTTCAACGACCGGCCGATGTGCAGAATCTGCCACGAGGGCAGCAGCCAAGAGGACTTGCTCTCTCCATGTGAATGTACAGGGACCTTGGGGACAATTCATCGGAGCTGCCTGGAGCACTGGCTGTCCTCCTCAAACACCAGCTACTGTGAACTCTGCCACTTCAGGTTTGCAGTCGAGCGCAAACCCAGGCCATTAGTGGAGGTCAGTAATGGGGGCACGTCCTGAAAACTTAGCTCTAATGAGCAAACGATGTCTGCTTTTATGCCCAGATCGCAAACCCTGTGCAGCTTCACTGGAGCACAGTGATAGCTCTGTGTGAGAATGTGGGTGTGAGGGGGTGTGTGTGCGTGCCCACCCACATGTGCTTGTACATGCGTGACACACATGGAGAGAGCTCACCGGCTCACTCAGGAGCCAGCAGTACAAAGGGGACTGCCACCTTTCACAAGGGAGTAGAAGAAACCAGTGTAAGGAGAAAGGGGACGTTTGGAGGCCTGATCTCCCTGTGCGTGGAGCGAAGAGTTCGCTTTTCTCTTTGCACACCGTCCGCCCACATTGACGCAACAGATAAATAGCATTTGAGTTGAATGTCCTGAGTGATCTTTATGAAAAAATATAGCTGCGTAGTGGTTTGAATCATTCCGTGACCTTAGGTAAGTTACTTCACCTCTTGGAATTACTATGAGGATTAAATGAATTAGTATGTATAAAGCACTTAGAAGAATACTGGATATCTATGCAAGTGTTTGAATTTGAAAAAATATCTCTCCTAGAAAATTATACACAAGTTTTTTTCAGCTAATAATCTAATATTAGAATCTCTTTTCTGAGTAGGTGGTGGTGTCAACACAGCCAGTAAAATGGCAAGACGCTCTCTTTTATGTTTTAAGAGCCACATCATTCTTCTTTAGAGCGCGGGTCTGGTCTTGTATGAGCTGGGGGAATTGGCAAATATCATTAGACCATTTTGCCCTCTCTCCTAACCCTCGATTTCTACAAGTCAATTAAAAATTGGATATTGGCAGTAGTAAATATTCTAATACACTATGAGCCCGAGCTCATCGAAAGAGACCCGCGACATTGTACCTACAGAGTTGCTGGGAACCTCCTCCTCATTTCAACAGCCGACACAGTGAAACTTTGGCATTAGAACTAAAGCTAGAAATCAAGAAACCCTTCTTGGGGACTCCTTCAAACTGGGTGTTAGTGCTTTGGCACTTAAGGCTCTGGACAGCCCTGTGTACACTGGGGGTGTATACACTGCATCATATATACACATGACTTGTATTCATCTTTTGTTATCAGTATATATTGAGTATTATGATTTTAATACAGGTTTTGGCCCCCTCTGTATATTCGCTTGGGTTTGACCTTGAGAATTTAATCAGGCCCTCTTACTGGGGCCTGTTTTAGCTATGACTTGCTTGCCAAATGGCACAAAACTTATTTGACTTGCCCCGATAAACTCTATGCTTTTTTTAAGACTCTGGATCAAGTGACCTCTTAATTTAGCCATCTTGCTGCTTGGCAACCACTTTCAGAAATGCATGCGTCTGGAGTGCTCGCCGGGGACCTGGCCCCGTGCCACCTTCGCTGGGACTTACATGTCAGAGCATCTCTGCAGAGGGGGAAATATAATTAAATAATAAGCAAAGGAAAGGAAGATTCCTCAAGCCCAATGGCAAAAGTGGAAAAGAAGCCTATTTCTCCTTTTTAGGAACTTTTTGGAACGTCCTCAAGTTGATATGGCAGCTTCCCCGCGGAAGCTGGCTTTCCAGAGTAGGAAAACCCTGCTTTAAATGGGCTGTATCCAGTGGTCTTCTTTCCTAGTATCTCCCCAGTAAGGGAGACTTTTGCTTGGCTTGGTAAAAATCCCAGTGTGTATGTGCGTAGTATGTAACTATGGAGGGTGTGTGTGTGTCTGTGCGCACGCGTGCATGCACATGACACACCTTAGTTTTTCTCAGGTTACACCCATATGTTGTATCACCCAGTGAACCCTTTCGCTCTCAGAGATGAAGACGTACCCACACACAGGCATTTCTTCAGAGTTTCCTGTGTGGGGCCGCAGACAGACTCCAGGGGCTTAGGCTTCTGTCATTAAATGAGGAAACGGGGCAAATGACCTTGAGAATGTGTGAGGCGCTCTGCAAGATTTAGGGCCTCGCCTACAAAAACTTAACCCAAACGGCTGCCGGTGGTGAAATTTTCGTTGCACAAATGGAATGTGACATTTTTCGGAGTTAATGATGATTGAACAAGTTGAAAGTGAAAGGCAGACCTTCTCAAGCTGGAGGAGGCTGGCCATTTGATCTTCCCCTGGCGAAATGAACTTGCTGTTTGACCACAAGCAATAAAAAAGTTGTCTTTGGTTTCTCAGCTGGAGGACAAATGAGAACCAGGTGCAGGGAGCTTTTTAAACAGATGACATTACTAATTGACTTTTCCCCTCTTACCTAAGGGACGGTTTATTCACAGTGAGCATTGCTTCTCAATACATTTACCTCCAGAAAAATACGAATCTTTTTAGTAAATCAGCAAAACCTGCCAATTTGGGCTAAGCATTAGGAGTACTATTACTTTGTTTCTCATTTTCACTCTTTTTAATTGCTTTAATCATTACTTTATTTACCAGTTGGATCTGCCTTCTCGTTAAAGCAAGAAAATTCCATAAAACTTAATTTGAAAATCGATGTGGTAATAACAGCTCTTGTTGCTAGAGGAAGTGGTTGAAAAACTCATTTATAAATTTTATTTGTCGGCATCCCGACGTTAACGTGGGTCGGAGTTACTTTAACACCTCAGACTCCCACTCATCCGTAAACTCTCTCAGCCCTTCACTCAGCATACCCCTCCATCCTCCTTAACCCTGCTCTCCTGGACACACGCCCCCTTCCCCTTCGCTTCCTCTCCTGCGCTCTCTGCAGCCAGCAGTGGGATGTTCATTTTTAACAAGTCGGGAACCCAGGGCTGGTGGCTATACATGAGCTGCTACATAAAGCCTCCCCCCCCCCTCACAAACGGGTGCATTTCTATTCAGAATGACCGAATCAGTGGGCTGGGTTTGATTAGCACCTCCAAACTGAATATCACCTCCCCACTTTCCCACTGACCAGCTGAGTGGAGCGGCTCAGATTCTCTGAGCAGCAGTATGGCGGAAGGTAAGCTAGGAGTTCTCCCTGATATTTTCAGTCTCTATAAGGCTCTATAAGCCTAAAGGTCCAAGGCTAAAGTTCTTGTGTAAAATAATGCATTCTGCACTTAAAATGATTCATTTTGTGGTATGTAATTTATACCTCAATATGTTGATTGTGTGTGTGTGTGTGTGTGTGTGTGTGTGTGTGTGTGTGTGTGTTTCTACTTACCTACCTCCGTACCTGTCTACCTACATGGCCGGACTACATCTTTTAGTCTCTTTTGTTAAGTTCATTGCCAATGTTATATCCTAAATATTTTCTTATTGCTAAGAAAGCCAGTTAAACAAAAGCTAGTTTCAACCCAAGAGCTACACCTGAATCATGTAGTTGATTCAGATCTGGGTGAATTTCTTCAATAGCCCAGCTAATATGAATCTCATACGGTCTGTGTCCAATCAAGTAAAGCTCGAAAGGAAAACATTCCAAGTGTACATAGCCAGAAGGAAGAGCAGCTATAACACACACTCGTTTTATATCTACACAGCTAGCACTTCTCTCGTGAAGGCTACATATCTTTCTGTTGATGATGGAAAATGTACCCAGTGGCAATTTGTGAGAGGAATTATCCCCAAGAATAATGGCCTGGTAGAATGCAGTAAACAGACATCCACTAACCATAACAGGATTCCCTGAATGACCAGCCTGGGTGGTTTTATGGTCTCCTTCCTGCTCATTTTCACTTTTCCTCATTTCTCTCTGAGTTGAACTCTGATACCATTCTTTTATAAGGGTAACATACCACAAACCAATAAAAATACCATGACGTGTTCCCAAAAATTGTGCACCTTGACTCCAGCCTATTGCTCTGATTACACATCTGACTGAGCACTTTTCCAAGAAGTCCATCTTACTATGTGCAAATAGCATGCTTGCATCATCAGCTCCCGGGGATGGGACTGTCTGCCCCTGGCTTTCCTACGACGTGTATCAGTAACACCCAGCCTTGCCCGGGAAACTCATGCGATAATAGATCAGCTCAACAATGTCATGAGCAAAATGAAACAGCCAGGAAATGGTGGAAACCTGGAGAAAAGGCTTTCTGGGATCTGATCTTCCTCCAATCAGGGAGACATGATGATTTTTCACAGAGGGAGTGATTAGGTTTTCGTATTCCTATTTCCTTTACACAAACCCAGCTGACTGATAAGAATGGTATGAACAATTTAAAAGCTGTTCCCTGTGAGTCAGAGGTTTAGCTAAATTGAAACGGAGCGTGTTTTCACACATATCAGTTGCTCAGAATAATGGGATGTAAAGCTAGGGAGATGAGAATTAGGGATTTTTTTTTCAAGCTTTTTATTTATGATTTTTTTTTATAAGTCACTGGGGGGAAATGGCCTTAAACTACGCCCCAGATTCAGTGTAAATCTCCAGCTACACAACAGGGAGCGGAGCTGCACTGCTGGGCAGAAACCACTTTATGCCTTGGCACTTGCTATTTAATAGATTTAAGACTTCGCTTGAACCTTCCTAATATGTACATATCAGACAGCCGGGGACATTGCTCGACTCTTATTGTAGCGGGGTTGTTTTGATTTGATGTATTCATTTAAGTAAAAACGTGAGGCCTGGGTTTCAGAGTATTCATTTTCATCAGCAAACCCATGTACCATTGGGGTAATTAGTAAATGACACCATAGAGGATATAAACTGACTCGAGGAGCTGCCCACGCGTGAGGACACCTATCCCATTTCTCCAAGGAAAACGGGCGAGCTCCCCTCTTCATTCCAGCTTGTGAGTGCAGCCCGGCGAGCAAGGTGTCCAGACCATAATCACAGCCTGTGACAGGCAATCAGGAAGCACCTGTTCATTAAATAAATGGATGAATGGAGAACCTCCCCTCCCCCAAAGGCAAGCCATAGATCGTAGTTTGGGCGTGTGGTTGTAAATCAAAGAAACGGACCCCTTGCCCTTACAGTTTAAGACAGACTCAGTGGGGCAAGGACTTACGTAATACAAACGAGCAACACTGCTTTGAGCAGCACTGCCAATGGCAATGGTTC